GCCACCCGGCAAAGAACATGAATTCTGGCTGCCAAGGGCTCATCAAAAACTTTATAAAGATAAGAGTTTAAGGGTGCTCTTCAGCGAGGAGGAGCTGAAAATGACTACCAAGGGGATTCAAGTTACTTGGCCTCTTTTGAGGGAGCCAGGGAGCTAAAAGAGAGGACCCCTTTAGGAAGACTCAAGAAGATGCAAACAATCCTGGTGGTTGGATGCAAATTTTCAAAGGACGGAGGTTTAAAAGACCTTGTGTCCTTTAGCTGGGAGGGGATGAGGGGCAAAGAAAATGGGAGTCTCTTGTGGAGGAGGTAAAACTGGGGCTCAAGTCAGGTGGGCGGAACAAGAGATCTTGAGAGAGACAAGCTGCAGTGAGGCTTCACACAGCAGCCTAGGGGCAACCACGGTTGAGCGCTGTTGGGGCCGTTGGGTGCCGGGAGCTGGCGCCCCGCCCTCTTTCCTCTCCCCCACCCCCCCGCACCTCCCACCACCCTTGTAGTGCCCTGCGCGTGCGCGCGCAGACACCGGTTGCCAAACATTGCATCATCCCCGCCCCCCTTTCCTCCCCTCCCCCGCCAGCTCTCCCCTCCGCGCGCGCGCATGACTCACTCACCTCCTCCGCGAAGCCTCGTGACCGAAAGCCACTTCCGGGTCCAACACTAAGTCGACCCCCAAGCGGGAGGGAGCGATGGGGGCGGTGCCTTGGGGCTTCTGAGTGGCGGATGTAAGGTATGAGGCGGGGCCAATGCCGGCGTGCCGCTTTATGATTGGTAGGCTTCTGGATCCGCCTCCGGAGAGGAGGGCAAGGCCCTATTAAAAGATCTCAGCTCCGCGCTATCCGGGTCAGAGGCTTGAGTCTAAGGCATAGAGTGTATCATGTTGAAGATGAGCGGGTGGCGGCGACAGAGCCAAAATCAGAGCCGGAACCTGAGGAGAGAGGCGAGTACTGATTCCCCCATCTACCTTTTACCCTCCCATCCTCGTGAACACCAGTTGTCCCCTTAAAGTTAGGGCATCCGCTCTTAAGGATGTGGTCCCACGCCCTCCGCAATGAAGTGAAGTGACCGTCCGGGGGAGGGATGAGAAGCTTTCATTCAGAAGTAGTGCTTACAGATCCCTCTTCCTTCGCACGACAGCAGCATCCCACCACTGCCCGGAGCATAGGCCTTACTCTGTGCTGTTCAGGGAAGGGGCCCCAGCTGCCCTAGGAAGATTTTTTTCTCTCCCGTTGCAGACCCCAGGGCTCCTCGTTAGGCCTGCCGGGTGGAAGGCGGGGCAACGGGACACATCACCGCGCCGAGAAGGCTGGTTGACAGTGGTTCAGGCCGCTGCCGCCACTTTGCCAACTAGCATCCTCCCCCACCCCCACCCCCAATCCTGTCTCAGCCGCAGCGTCTCAGGGCCAGCATAGCCACGTCAGTAGATGGGGCTTTTGGACCCTCCACAGGACATTCTTTCTGCACCCTTGCAGAGGAGAGAATCTTAAAAGAGACTGACTGACACAAGCCTTTGGGAAGAGGGGTGTCGATGGACGGGGAGCAGAGATGAGTTTTCCTTTTCCCCAGAGGTCCCTAAGCCTTCTGCAGAAGAGAGCATCCTGGATCTTTTAAGTGTGGGAAGCCATTTGGAGGTCTCCCCAGTGGATTGTCCTTCCCCTGGGATTGGTCCTTGCCTCTTTCCCCTTGTCCTGTCTCCAGCTAATCTCTGTGTAACCATTGCATCAGGTCAGCCCCCTGCTTGGCTCTGCAGCTCTCTGGCTCGGGGCTCCACTGCTGATGAAAGCTATGTCCCACACACTGGAAAGCAAGGGGGGTTCCCCAGGGAGGACAGCCCTGTAGAGAAGCACTGAGGACGATATTGCATCTACAGTCCCCAGAGATAGGCAGCTGCCACTCTGCCTCTGGACTTCGTCCTCCTTTCCTTACGAGAGATTGGGGAGATTTATCCATTGATTCCTAACAAATATTTAACCAGCACCTACTATGCTGGTTAAGTTTGGGGCCCAGCATTTATCCATGAACAAGAGAGAAAAAAATCTCTTACAGAGCTTACATTTCAGTGGGAAGAGGCATACAGTAAGCAAATATGTAAGTGCCATAGCAAAAAACTAAAGCATGGAAGGGTAGAGAATGCTGAGTGGAGGTTACAGTTTACACTGGGTGGTCAGGGATTCTCCGACTGAGGTGATATTTAAATGAAAGACCTAAAAATAGGCAAGGCAGTAAGCCACGTGGTATGTGGAAGGAAGAGCTTTCCAGGAGAAAGAATAGCAAGAGCAGAGGTCCTAAGGTGGGAGCATGCATAGTATCTTTAGGGAACAGGAGGCCAGTTGGCTGGACTAGAGTGAGCAAGACGGAGAGTGGTCAATGAGAAGAACAGCAAGGAAAGAGCAGTTTGTGGAG